AGGTGACAAGCATGCTTGTTGCTTTCAGCCCTGCTTTGTTGTTGATTTGCAGCAACTCTGCCAAGCGTGGCGGCTGAGGAGCCGGCAGCATGTCTTGGCACTCTCACAATGTTCTGGAGAGCGCCTGAACAAAGATCTGTGGTTTCATGTCAACACAAATGTATTCATGATGACAAACTCTGCAGCATGTTTGACTGAGCTTATTCATACAGTCCTGGTTCCAGCACTGGTAAAACTTTGGTTTGCCTAAGAGAAAATAGAAAGTTTCAGTATCTGAAGAACCCTTCAGATGTGAAAAGTTACATGCGTGTTGCTTGGTCTTAAGAAGGGGATCCAGATCCAGGGTTTAATGTAGTAGACACATCAGAGGACTTGCGAAGGTATTTAGGGCTTGGTGTCCTTTAAGAAGTTCTATGCAAGGAACTTTCAAGTTCTATCTTTCCCTTCTGTTTTCAAAGAGAGTCCTGGCAGCATTGACCCTCTGCTCTCTGACTTGAAGTGCATGCAGTGGAGGAGTGTGGCTCTGGGAGAAAGGGAGTGGGGTTTAAGAGTTATCTGGGGGGGGTGGTTGTGTTTTGTTTGGTTTTTGTATTGATAGAAACATCTCTTTGCTCTCACTTTACTCTTTGTTCTTCTCCTGTGTGTGCTGGGATCACTCAAGTATGGGGTCTAAGGTGGATTTGCCCCTGAGGCTTTAAACTTTGTGGGTGGTAGTGGGAGAGCAGGACTGACATCTTTCTCTATGCAAGTGAAAATTGGGCAGACGGATGCTTGGGAGTGAGGCTGTCCTGTGTGGTAACCTTCACAGCAGGGAAAAGGCATACTTTAAAGACTTAGTCAAGATATTTAAAAAAAAAACTAAACAGCCGAATGCCTCTTGGAGTCTGAAGTGACTGCTGCTACTGTGGTTGAAACCTCTGTCTTGTTTTTCCGTGGGACAGTCTTGCAACAGCTTTCCAAAAGTTAGGGAAGAGCCGTAGCTGCTGTGCGTCAGGGTTTCACATCTTGCATCGTGATGCTCTTGCATGTGCCAGGCCTCTGCCTTAACACGGGCAGCCCAGAGACAGCCTTGGCCTGTGGGCAGAAGCGAGAGAAACTCCTCCACGGTGGTGGTGTCTCTCTGCTGTGCAATTCCTTTGTTCTGTGGTCAGCTGCATGCTGTGTCCTCACAACTCTGGGAAGGGAGACGGGGAGAGCCTCCACAACTTTTTTAGGGTATTGTTGATATATGGTTGTTCTGCCTGGCCTCATCTCCTCTCTTACACAGTTGAACTGTTTGGGCTTGTGCAGTAATCCACATCTCTAAATGGGACCACCTTTACAAATATTTTCTTCACAAAATGAGTTTTAGCCTGGATCGGTTCCCTCCTATGTTTCACTGTATAGTCCATGGGGTAGAGGTATGTTTTGGTGGTGAGGGTAAAAACAACATGATACTGTGCATGGTTGAGGCCTTGCATCCTACTCAGGTGAAATCAACTGCAGATTGCATCCCCTGCAAATTCTGACAGTGCAGCAAAATTTAGGGAATGCTGCTTGTAGTGGGAGATCTGCCTTTTTTAGGAATGGAGGAGGTATCCATGATTCCTCCCAGACTTCGGGTAAAGGAGAAAGCCATCAATGGGAAAGTGATTACAGAGTGTTTGCTCCCACAACAGCTGTGAAAATGAGCTAGTGGCTATGGCAGAGACTTTACAAATACCTAGTGGGTAACCTAGGTGAAAGTGCAGGATTAACTGAAATGTCAGATGATCTAGTCTGCTTCTTTAAACACAGGTCGCACTGGTTTAACTGCAGTTGCTTAAACAAGCAAACCCCATTGATCCTAAATTGATCTATTCCCCTAAAAAAAGAGTAACCTTACGTTCCTTATGTGGCTATCTTATATAAAATATATAATGGATTAAATTGAATTAGTTTTTTAGCTTTGTCACTGAAGTGCGGAGTGTTTAAATTCACTCTGTTATCCTTTGTCTAGATGCAGGGAACATAGAAGAAATTCTCCTGTGTTGGTGAGCCTTGCAGCTGTGCTTCAAAAGGTGCAAGAAATGGATGTGATAACTACTCAGCTCTAAGCCCCCTCTCTTTGTTTTGTGGCTGTTGCTCTGGAACTACCATTTCAACATGATTCCAAATTCTGAGCAAGCTCTCAAGCTCTTCCTTACTATGTCATGTAGCAAGAGTACTTGTGCTGCATGTATTTATGATGGCATCAACACTGGACTTGGAAGAATCCCTGTTGTGTCTGTCTCCTGTGTTGGGGCTGTGGGCTTCAGGAGGGGTAGTGGGGATGATGTGCTGGAGGGTGAAGGAGCTGGGTGGTAGGCTGTCACCTCTGATACTAGGGAGGGTGTCTTGGTCTCTGTGGATGTTTGAGGAACACATCCACTTGCCCCTCTTGCCCGTTCTATGTGTGTAGGCCTTCAGGTGCTTCTGTCCTTTGCTGAGAAGCGTGAGTTCTAAGTTAAGCCTTCTGTGTGTCTTGCACTGGCCTCTACCTCTGTCGAGGAATGAGGGCTGAGGTGGACAGGCGTGGACTTGGGTGGAGAGGCAAAGCGGGAGAGATCTTGTGAGAATACCCAAGGTGCTGCTTCGCACCGGTTCACAAGTGCGGTGTAACTCAGCTGGTTGTTGCTACTGAGAGGCTGGAGGGAGGCGGAGGGGAAGAAGCTGGACTGTGGGAACTCGGCAGAAGGTAGTCCTGAGGATTGTATTAAGCTCGGTGTCTGCAGCGGGTGCTTGTTCTGGGTGTGAGGCCCAGAGAGTGGTTTACACTGCCTCATAGGGAGGGCATGTGGGGCTAGAAGGAGGTAGCTCCTAACTCTTGGTGCTCCCTTTGCAAAAGGAAGTCTTGGGTGCATGGGGTGACCTGTGATGGAAGACGAGCAACGCATTTCACCAGCCCCACTTGAGTGCTGTGATGTCCCACAGTACCTCCCTGCACTGGTGGTCACCTCCTAGGGCTGGCAGCAGTTCACAGCTGGGAAGGCTGTGGCATTCCCTCTGCAATGCCCCAAAGTGTAACTTGGGGTTTTAACTGTGGGAGGTGAAACCTCACCTGCCTTGCTGCGGATGAGCTGAGCTAGCAGCATTCTGATCCTGAAAGCGGCAGCCAGGCTAGGACATGTGGCTGGGGTGTCAGGGAGGAGGTTTAGCCTGCTAAACCAGGAGAAAGCTTTTCTGTTTTCCTAAGTTGGGTGGGTTTTGCCAGTTCGGCGGGTGACGTGACGGTAAAGCCAGGCTCACAGTTTGACTAGTCTTTAAGCCTTGCTGGCAAAATTTGGGCATCAGGCTCCTGAACTACAGTGGGTTATTGGGAGTATGTTGGGATTTAGGTGGGAAGTGTTTAACTTTGTGGGAACCTGACTGATGTTTTCTGTGTTTGAGTATTTTTATGAGATGAGAACCTGCTTTTTGGTGTAATACCAAGTGAGATGAAAGACTTCTTCTTTCCATGTTTTGAACTCTGTGCTAGTCTTCATTGGGCCGGACTGATGGATAAGGGAGAGTGAGGAGCAAAATCTGGTGTAAAATTCATTCCCCAAATTTATTTTGTTTTAAATCTAGTATTGTAATTTTAACTTTAGACACCCTTCATGTTCTGTACATAGACCTGGTCTCCACCCCCATCTGTCGCCACCAGAGGCTGTTGTCTCTTCTCACTCTTGTTTTTCTTCTTAGCATAGAAAGTAATGAATATGCACAGTGCACAAAGTATCTTGTATGTGCTAACTTTATTAAAAAAACCCTCACACAGCCATGTGAAAGATAATCATGGTGTTTGTCATGGAAAAAAAAATTATTTCAATGTAAACATGTGGCTGGCAACTGGTTATTTTTAATACATGTTATTTGTGCTTTAAATCTAGCGATAAAAGTATTTTTGTCATCTAAACCCCAACTGTTCTTAGCTGAACAGATTTCAGGTTAAAAACAGTAATCAAACCATGAGTGTTCATAGCATTGTAATGTAATTTCTTGTTACTAGATCTTTTCTGACCTGTTCGTTTAATGCATCATGAAGCGGTGGTTATATGTCTAATTGCGTAGTGCAGAGAAAATAGCATTGTGTTGAAATACTCCATAAAACTTCAGCGTTATGTGATATTTTGCAGTGGAAGTAGTACTGTAGGCACTCATTCATAACAAGACCTGCAAGTTTCCCTCTGCCAGGGCGAGTAGTTGAGCTGGCTGTGTGTGTGCTGACTCAACGGAGCAAGTTTCTTTCTCTTCTCCTCTTCTGACTGCTTGTGACCAAATGACAGCACATTCACAAGAACTTGCTGCGGAAAACGTACCTTAGCTTGAGGTTGTGGCTGTGGTTTTTCATTTGAGACTTTTAGAGCTCTCATGCCAGCCACGTGTTAAGTTGGTTAAAAATGGACTTCCTTTCCAAGCGTGGCTGTGAATGCACAAGAGTTTCTCTGGAGTGGTTGAGCAGAGGACTTGATTCTGAACTGAGGGACCCAGTGTCCCCTAGGTGGGTGTTCCTGTCTGGATGGGGGACAGAGGCATGGAAGGGCCTCTGGGCAGGGGAGGAGACACTCAGAAGTGAAGCCTGTGGGGAAGTTCATGCGTGTGTCTACCCTGAAGTAAGTGTTCATCTAGCTGCACAGTACGGTCTCATGATTCAAGGGCTTGGAGCCTGCTGCTGAGCCTGGCTCCTCCCTTTTTCATTTAACGATGACTGGAAGAAAAATAACCAAATGTGCTAGGAGAGAAACATTAATTAACTTTTAATTTAGATCTAACGTATGCTCTTAGTGTACTGCATGAAAGAGCGAGTGTGCAATATCTGTCATGTTATTTAGGGGGTGATGCATTGAAGGAATAAGAAAAAGCCTCAAGTCTGAATGGGAAGATGGGGTTTTAACTCTGCAGATGGGTTTTGTATCTTGATTAAAAGCTGCAGATGTGTGATAAGTCACTTTTGTAGCCATTTTGCATTTGAAATGACTTTCTCTGTAACTTAGTTTGTATCTGTTTTCTCTAAAGCCAAACTCGCAAGGAGAAGTCAGGAGAGAGAGAATCTCGGCATGCTGGTCTGGTCACCTAACCAGAATCTGTCTGAAGCAAAATGTAAGTCTCTTCACATACTTTTATTCCCTTGCTTCCCTTATATGTATCACTTCAAGAATGCAAAGTTGCCACTTCCAGTACAGAGGTGATGTCTGTGACCTTTCCATTACAACGTGAAATTAATTTGAAAAAAGAAAAGCCTACAAAGCAATCCCTCAGAAGAGCTTTGTTCCCCACTGGGCAGCTGCTCAGAGTGTCAAACCCACAGAGGCAGGGAACACAGGAGAAATGTGACACACTTTCTTCCTTGGTATGAATTAAGATCCTTATCGGCCTACACAATCTCTTTTTTTTGGTGCTGTAGAAGATGACGGAAATAACTATGGAGGGCAAAAGGAAAAGTATTTGCGGTGGTGGGGAAGGGTGGGGTATGCATAGTACTTCGTAGTACCTTTTTCCCCCACAAAGACACAAATTAAAATCCTCATCTGGAGCCCATGGAGGTTTAAATGCCAGAACAATTGCAGTGCCTCGGAATTCCACGTGAGGGCAATTACGAGGGCTCTGTGTGTGTCTGGGAACAAGTCTCAGTGCTGCTGCCAGATGGCAGAACTAGTATTTGAAAGGTTGGTCTAGCTACAGTTCTTGTGAATAAGTGGGACTCTGATTAAAGGGCTGCTCTTTGAATGCAGGAGCTAAACCTAAGTGCTTTTGGGGGAGGGAGTTGAAAAGATATATTTTTGACTTTGTGTGATATCTTTCTTCTACTTTTCCGATTCTGGGACCCAGAATAAGAATCTTGCATTCCTGTTCCTCGGCAGTTGTTTGTGGTAGCACTGTTGAGTTGATATCTGGTTTTCTCCTAGACCCGAGATGCATCACAAGACACTTGTGAGGCTGCAGTGGCATTTGCAAATTAAGACAGGAAAGACTGTGCACAAGCTGGCTCTGTCAGAAAGGGCTGGACTCTGCCCTGGGGCACTTGTTCCACTAAGCAAGTTGCCCCTTAAATTACAGAAGGATGATGGTACTGTGATCTACAGATAAAAAAGGCTTTGCAGGGATCAGGACTGCCTGCCTTCCTACCAGTGTTGTCTTGTCTCTTCGCTGCTGGCTATTGGATACTGAACTAAATAAGACTGATGAGGATAGGGATATATTTGACAGTTATCTACAGCTAGAAACCTTTAAAAAGACGTAAGAGCAAGAAACTGTTGCCTCCACCAAATGGAGCAACTGTTCATGGGTTGTCTGTGACACAGAATTCCTGTAGCTGCCTTTCAAGTCTGAGAATATTTTGAATCTCAGCTTGGCTTTAGAACATTTAACCCCTGCCTAGTAGGGAATGGGCTTCTTGGAGAGGGAAGAGAATGAAGAAGGTAAAGGAGTCAAGTTGTATGAAATACAGTAAAATAATTTGAGACTGAATATTTTGTGGCAATTGGCACAAAAATATATGCAAGGATATTATAGCGCATAAAAAGGATAGAATATCTGCTAAGAAGAGGCCATGAACCTAGGAGGAAATTAAAAATGTAGTATGGTATTGATGAGTAAAAACTTATGTGGCAGTTGACTGTTGCTGGTACAATAAAGTTGGGGAAAACAATATAAATATAAGAAAAGGCAAGAAGAAATTTTTCAGAAGGCTCAAAATTTTAGTGAGAGTGTGGATTCATGAGTGATTTCACCTTCCAAAACTGATACAGAAGACTAATAAATATTTCATGTGGTGTTTAGGGGAGAAAAGCATGATTCTTTTGTGCCGTATATGACACATAAAGTGTCTCTCAGGTACCTAATTTATATAGAGGGATGGAGGAGTGAAATTCAGCATCTAGTAGCAGTAACAAACAAAGAAGGGAGCATTGGGAGAGGTGGCTGAGGGCACCTTGGGCTGGCAGGAAAACCCCAGCAGATGAGGAGAGGGCAGCTGTGGAGGGAATGAGAGAGCAGGCCAAGAGTGGGCTGGCTGGTCATTGTTTTGTCTTGTGTCAGTTTGAGCTGACACTTGCAAAAGGTATCAGTTATTTCCTGTCTCTACTTGGCATTACTTAAAACTGAACTGTGAAAACCAAATCCTGCTGCAGGTAGCTGCTTTTGTTCTTTTTGAGACTAGAAATGGATTGATCAGTAGAAAAAACTTCATAGCTCTAATATATTCAGCCAGCTGTTAGGCACTGATTTACTACTGCATAAGAGTCTGATTTGATCGCCCTTCCTTTCAAAAGATGGGAGCCGCCTCCGAAACACCCGTGCTCTGCCATTGGCTGTAGAGCACTTAGTAAATCTATTACAAGCAGAGTTTTTTGATCTATTTTATGGTTTATCAAGAAAGAACATCAGGGGATAGGAGGTCTCTCTTCAGCTCCTTGAGTTCGTTGGCAAGTGTTGACATTGTTCATAGTGAATCCTAAATAAATGGGGTCTGTGGGGATGTGTAAGAGAGCTGCTGATGATGATCAGCACTTTGATCAGTGATACGGAGTTGCTATGGAGAGAAATTGAGGATGAGCCATAGACTGCCAGAGTGGTAAATAAAACGAATGTTACCAATACTCTCGTAGAGTGCTTTGGGTTTTTTCCTAATGTGGACTGATACCAACGCAAGGGGCTCTTAATGACCCAGCTGTAGGGTTATGAGTCTCTGTGCTGAAAGCTCTGGCCTTATCTTCTGCATCAAAGCTGATGTTTGGAAAGAAGTGACTTGGAGAGCAGTTTTGGGGACACAACGGGCAGGTAATTCAATAAAGCTTCCCAGTGTCCTTCTTGACCCAATGGATGATGTGGGTGTGAAGAGAGCGAGGTGGTCACTGGAACAGTTTGCTCCCTCTTCAGCCGGCAGCATTCAGGAACATGAACCTCAGAATAATGGCTTTGGTGTTGGAAGATGGAGAAAAGGATGGGGACAGGAGCTACCGAAACAGTTTGGAAACTGAAGACAAAGCAAACCCCATCTGTTTAGCTTATTGCAAGGGGACTATTGTCAATTATTTTCAAAAATGGAAATTTTGACATGGTAAGAGACATGCATAATAGAAATAAATGCCTACAAGGTTAACTCCACATGGACTGGAATGAAATGCCTGAGTATGTGCTGGTTTTGGTGTGCTGGTTTTTTTTTTTTTTTTTGTGATTGACTACTGAAAGCTACCCAGGGAAGTGATGGATTCTCTAATTCTTGATGCCTTTTTTCAAACCAGGGGTTCTTGTGATGTGCATTATCCTTGGTGGGAGGAATCACTGGAAGAGTGGAAGGAACTGTGGGCTCTGGGAGGTTGTTGTAGCCCCTTGGACTTTCAGTACTGTGAATCCTCGCTAGCACATCCATTCTTAATGTTACTGTTCAGGTTGAAGTGTTGGGGTGAACAAATCCTTCCAATCAGTAGCCATGTTGGTACCTGTGTATAGTTACGTTCATTTGTACTCCAAAGCCTTTAATCCATCCTGTGCTGGTTCTTGTGGTAAACTCTAATCAGGACTTTTCTCTGTTCCCGTGGCTGGGGCTTAATGGGAAGATGGAAGTTCATGCAGCACGTGTTAGCTGTCAGCTTAGACTGACGGGGTAGCTCTCCTGAGCGGGACAGTTCTGTGGAGTTGGTGAAACTCTTGGGAGCCACCTATGTTAAAGGTGAATCTGTGCTACAAAACACTGTGAGCAAATCTGTGACAGTGCTCAGAGCAATACACACTGATGGGTTTGGCCGAGGGCTGGCCAGACTGGTGGAGGTTGTGGGAGAGTTCTCTGTAAGCTGCTGAAATGAATCCTGGAAAGACTAGCGTATCAGCCAAGACCGGGTGGATATCTGTATACCTGGTGCTCCAGGCTCATGCAATTAGTTAAAGCTTGTTTGGGTCCCATGCACCTTATATGTTGGAGCAATGTTTTAATCAAGTTGGAGAAACCTTTTGCCTGGATGCCATAAAATGATGAGTAGGGTAGAGAAGATCGGAACAAGCAGAAGTATGTGTTGGCACATTGATCAAGGTGGGTGTGTTCCCCACCCCGTGCCTTGTTAACCATTAACACTGGGTACAAGCCACTTACTGCCGTGCCCAGAATAATGCTCAAGTTGAATACTGCCAGTATGTTCTGTATCTACTGCCAGGCTTCTGCCTTTGAGGGGTCACTTGCATAGCAGTTGCCACCCTTACTGAGTAGCTCACAAAGTTAGCCCAAAGCTGGAGTTTTGTCCTGTCGCTTTTGAAGAAGAAAGAAAGAAAGAATTGTCATTGTGCAGTAGCTGAACATTTGGACTTAAAATAACTGTGCTCCCCTTCCAGCTCTGCTCCAAATACCCTGTGTGCTGTGGCTGGTGTCGCACCTCTTACAAAGAGCTTGCTCTCAAAATGAGGACTTGGTGGCACGGAGGGCAACTGTTCTGGCTGTGCTGGGACTCTGTCACAGAGGGTGGAGAAGGAGACGTGGAGAGAAGAGGGAAGAGTGAGGTCTTGAGCAAGATGACATTGGGGAGCAGGAGCAGCTAGGTGGAAGACAGGCATCTTTCTTTGAGTGGCATGTGGAGAAGGAGGAGGGAAATAGTAAAAAATGCCTTGTAATGATGCTGTAAAAACCGTGCACAGGATAGAGCTGGGCCAGCATGAAGCTATTAATAAAACAGCAGTGTCTGTGCCAAGTACGCCAATGGGTGGAACCATAAAAGTGACATTGGGTTGGTTTAGAAATGCGCAAGTGCTGGCATGCTGCAGCTGCCCAGGACAGAGGAATGGAAACCAGGCGAGAGGATAGGACGTGATGATTGCTTTTATGCATCTGCAGTTCAAAGGTGAACTATGAGAGGAGAAAGATTTATTTGCTGGTGATAAGCTCTGTTTCGAAAGTAATTTTTCTGCTCTCTTCCTGACAGAATACATGTGCTGCTAGATGGGAGCTTCGATTTCTCACTGGTGTGTTGGTGGGTGTCTCCAGTGGACTGGCAGTTTATGGGGTGTCACTGAGGAGGCAGGCACTATCCCCAATACCTGTGGGATGATGGTTGCAGTACTGGTTCTATTTGACCTGATAGCTGATCAGCATTGGCACCTTGGGATGCTCACCA